TTTTAAACATGGGACAATTTCAAAATAATGCTTAATAACAAAGTTGTAATTCGATCTTCAACTGTTAAAATCTTCTGGAAATTTTTGAGAAAAAAATTTTAATATTTTTCTCGTACTTTCCAAGCGAGCCCCTATTACCCCTTAAAAGGAATGACGCCAATTTTGAATCACCCTGCATATGTATTGTGTCTAAACCTTCCACATTGTATATACATCTAAAAACCGAAGGGAGAGAGGTAAGTAAGGTCGCATATTAAAAACCCAGAAGGAAAAACTAACAAACTTTATTAATAAAGTGCATGTTATTCAATACATCCATATTGATTGTCAATGGCTATGGTAGTAGTGTAAACTGTGCCTTTACAAACAAGGCACCCAAATCTAAAATCTACTAAAATATCTCTTTCCTAAAAATTAAGTTACCAACCAATTCAGTCATGTGGGATAATACAATAAGAACAGTAAATAATGCATTTTTTGCAACATCGGCTTTTATCTACACTCTTATTTTATTCAAGATAGACACCATTGGACAAAGCAACCTGCCAGTACTAATTAATGCGTATTCATCTTAGCAGTGAGTCAGAGTTTAAAGAAGCGCAAACAAGAGAAATCATTGAAATGCAGACTTGTTTTAAATCAAATTTAACAGTATGCGTCTTCAATCCCTCTTCCGATTTTCAACATCAAACTCATTAATTGCACTGTGTCCGTCTATCTTGAAATTAAACAAAATTTAGTGTGTTAATATTGCACAAGTTTATAATTACTGAAAACAGTACATTGAAATAATTGCAAAAAATCCGGGGAAAGGCAGCTTTATTGCTACTTCTTCAAGGCGGCTACAGGGTGAAAACAACGTTTGGCAGTATTAATCAAGATTTCCAAAAAATACTGCCTACCTTGAAATGCTTGCGCGCACTTAAGCTGCACCCTCAATAATGCTAATTCTTACTATCTAACTGAATACTGGATCGACTTGCTAGCTGTTCCTTTAGGATGTTCTGGACGACGATTCTGGCCTCCCTTTCTTCGTTCAGTTGGGCGGCCATAATCGCCATCTTCGACTCCAGAACGTTGTACTTGGATTGGAGAAGGTTGACGGCTTCCGCCAAGGTTTTGGTAAAATCTACCTTAGACGAATCTGGCATTGTCACTGCAAATTCAAAGAAAAAACATCCGTCAGTTTTCTTGAACCTAAACTGGCGTTGCACATGCTTTGCACAAACAGTGTTATTCATTGTCACATGGAAAAGCATGATTTTTAAGAAGCTTGAAAATGGGTCCATTATCGCAAGTGGTACTTTTCAGCCCGTGGTGATGACAACTTCTGCTTTGATTCTCAATTTTAACGTGGAAAATGGTTCTATTGGACGCAATTGAACCCGCCAAGTGATTATATCTACAGCCGCCCCTTAAACAGCCCAAAAGCATTCTGAATTTTGAAACAATTGGGTCGAGCCGACATTCACGCTGGGTAAAAGATCAGTGATCTTTGGGGTGATTTGAGCAAACAAGCTTCCGTCTGGTTAAATTGCTTAAATGAAGCATTATGCTACCAAACAAGCCGTTGTTCCCATAGAACTTCGCCGAACGTTTTCGATCAGTTTGCCTTATTAGTAATAAAAGATTGATTGATAGTTGAGGTGCTTGGGTTAATCGGTCAATGGATAGCAGAAAAAAACCATACAGCGTAATACATCCCGTAAACCTTCGCTTAAACCGTAAATATTTATTTGACTTGACAGTAATTATTGAAAGCGTGTTGGATTATACAGGGTGTCCCGTAAGCACATCATCAAAAGGGTATTGCAATATTCTTTTAATCTCCAACTTTTATCATCAAAAAAGTCTGGATCCTCTGCTATTGATGGTCAGTTATTCAAAAAATGCACTTTTTTAAAATATCCGGAGAATGGTACGATGTATTTTAGTGAAACTCGCTGCGAATTTGTTCTTATGTAAGGTTTTGATGAAATAATCCAGTTCATTCGTTTGGAAAAGTGGTTAATTCTTGAGTCATGGTAGAAAAACTTTCAGAACATTTTAGTTTGATGCACTAATCATTTGTTCACATTTTTGCGCTCTTTGTAAAATCTTGTAGCATTCATAGTTTTTGCGCAAAAAAAATATTTCTGTCTTCCTGTCATTGAACAATGTTAGACATTAACTGCAAATGTCGTGATGAGCGAGGAACCTTGAAATGAATCGTCAAACCTTTGACGTTTGTCAATCAATCAGACAAATTCTGAATGACAATGACAATCATGAAGAAATGATCGAGATGGTCAAAGTATTACGGTTTTGCGAAGAAACCGTGCGAAATCCCCAGATATTCACATAAAAAATCCCCGTTTTGCACTAAATTTTCAAAAAAAATTATAAGTGATAATAACAAAAAAGGTTATTGAAAACGGTATATTACTAAATTAAAAAAATTGAACTCATAATTTTGCTTCAATTTTTATTCTTTTAAATTCAAGCTTTAATTTAAATAGGTATTTGACAAAGTTTATACGCTAGGTAAGTATCTTTGGCGTGAAGCGCTCGATAAAGTAAAAATTCAGGTAATTATGTAGCTATATTTATAAATGTTAATAATATAAAGGACCATTTCAAGCGTGAGAAATTTCTTTGTCACGTTTGTTCAATTGTTTTATATGCTAGTTTTACTTGATATTTATTCTTAAATACTCTCAGAGCACAATAACTGACACTTTCCCAAACACCAAAGAAATACCGAGGAAGGGCTACGTTCCTACCACGTTTGTACGATACACATAGCACAAGGAGATACAAATGGAGCAGGAGTCAATTAACTGAATACGAGAAGCTGCTTGATAAGAGTGGATAATAAGGAAATCACACAGGCACTAACTTGTTTGGAGTTAACCATTCAAATGTTTGTTGTTGTACGGTTTATTTTTAAACACCAATATTCGAGGTTATGAGAACAGGTTGACATTTCGTCAAAAAATCTTGTTGAATTTACCGTTTATCCTTGTCTATCTTATTGTCAGTCTGTATAATTCCATGGTTACCGGAGTTTTAAATAATTACGAAGCCACAGGTATTTGCGCAATGTTAATTAGGCAGATTATTATTAGTATTTCTGATATAGTTTTTTGCAAATTTCTCAGTTTTTAATAACAATTAATTTATTTTTCTATACTTAATTACTCCTATAACAGCGTCAGACAACACCTCCAGAGGAATGACGCCAATTTTTAATCACCCTGTATAACAAATCCCTTTTGCCTGAGAAAAATTCCCAGAACTAAGGAAATTCTTTTTGTATTTTTTGTATTATTAGTATGGCATCACTAGTAGGTTTTGTTCACTGATGAAGCCAGTTTCACCAGAAGTGGTGTTTTAATATCCCCTAACTTCCACCATTACGCAGAAGAAAAACGTTCAGGCGGAATTTCGAATTAATTTTTCGAACGAGCCTTATGCCATGCCAAGCCGCTTGAATGGCGAAAATTATCTAAATTTCTTGAAGAACATTGTTCCGGTTCTAATGGAAGATTTGCCTCTCGAACTTCGTGCTCAAATGTGGTTCATGCATGATGGAGCTTTTCCGCATTTTAGTGCTGCCCATTAGGGCCACTCAAGTAATACTTTTTCACACAAGTGAACAGGAAGGAAGGAAGATGTTCCTGTCGAATGGCCTCCCCGGTCCCCCGAATTAAAACCATTAGATTTATTGTGGGGAGCCTTAAAGGATGAAATTTACGCCACTCCTGTGGAATCCCATCAAGACCTATTATATAGAATTTAAAACTAGATAAGCACAAAGCGGGATAATCCAGAAATTTCAACTAGGATCCAACTATGCATCCAGGACAATGGCGGACATATCGATCATCTTTTGTAACTTTTTCTTCTCCTGTAATTTATAAAAAAATGATTAATTTGTTCTAATCGTAATACTTATGTAATTGTTAACAATCGCAATTCTCATTTTTCTATAAATCTTTTTTTTTAAGTTCTCAGCTAGATATTGATTGTTAATTCACGTTTCAATTTTGTCGCTGCAACACCGAAGGAAATGAATTTTAACCATTAACTAATGAAATAAAATTATAGTTTATCCGTCGCAGATTTTTATTTTGTGATTATGTGAATAAATGACTAGTGCATCAACTAATGAGTTGATTCCATCCACCAACTAAAAAGTTCTGGTTGTTTTCAACACGACCTAAAGAAGTCACCACTTGTCCAAAACGGCTGAAGTTGATTATTTCACCAAAATATGAGTGTCATATCAGATCAAATTCACGGCGAGTTTCACTAAAATACATTCAGAAAAGATAATTTTTTTGAAGATCTTTGGCCATCAATAGCAGAGGAGCCAGACATTTTTGTTAATAAAAATATCGTAGTACTATGTTGATCATGTGCTTACGGGACACGCTGTATGTTGAAGGTTGACAAACCCGCCTCATGAATCCTAAAATAGGCGAGCATTCAAACTTGTAAAGTGGAACCTAAATATGAAAGACACCGCGATGAAGCGCTCTGAAATCTGGACATGCTTTATTTGATGTCGATAGAAAGCTATTCGAGTCCCAGAATTCTTCTCGTTTTTTTTGTTTGATGCTCTCTTCAAACCCCGAAATCTCCAAAATCGCCTCTTTCCAACCTTCTCCATTCCAGCCGGAACTCAATTTCTACGACAAATTGAAGAAAAAGAAGTGATGGAGCGCCAGTCCAAAGCCTCGAGGTTTAAAATAAATAAATTCTTGTACCATTTTTCCGTAAAATCATTTATGAAACAAGCCGTTTTGAGGTGCGTCTATACTAGATGAAAGCTGCAAATGTTAATAGTGATAACGCAAACACTGCAAAAGGTTATCGGGGTAAAACCAAGATGATTAGTAAGTACTAAAGCAGAGCAAATCCGTTAGGGGGTGCCACAAAAACACCAAAAAGAAAAAAAACAGCGACTAACGTTCTTTCCGGGGGGGACGCTTTTACTCCAAGTGTTGCGACTTTTTCAGTTGTTTTGCAACAAAAGAACCGCAACACCAGGTCGAGGCCCGTGGGGGGCCGTGGGGTCGAAATCTCCTAGGCTGCAAAGGCTGCGCAATCAATTCTAAACTAGATCGGTGCGAGGACATCAACTTATTCGGCAGCTGTACATTTCCGCCGGTCAGAACTTCAACTAGAGGTAATCGAAGAGTTTTGAAAATTGTTATCTAAGTATTTTTACATTGATGCATCAGAGAAACATTTCCGAGTTTGTTACCAACTTTTAAGATTAAGAACTAATATGCAGGACGTAGACAGCAGACGTTCATAAATCTTATATATCGTGAGGTTTTTTAAAGTGTTGCAAGGCTCAAATACTCCGAATATTCAGGGTGTCCACCCTTCTGAGTTGTAACACTTAAAAAAACTCAACAAGTCAATCAGTTTCCTCCAAAAAGACTTACCTGAAGTCAAAGTGCACCTCGGTTTGCCCAAAGTACAATACGCCTCAATAACATCCAGGATCTGGCCATCCTCCTTATAAGTGGTAGCTCGACGACTGTTGTACCGCTGGTAGGGGCCTCCAGGGGCGGCGCCCAGAGCTAAGCAGGGCCTCAAAGGCGCAGTCGGGCGGAGACACACTGCCGACCAGTTCTGGCCCCTAGGGAGGCCGTGGGGCAGCACGGGCGGTGAAGAGCTGCGCGGTGTCGGCCCTCGGGAGCCCCTCAGCTGCGGAATGGGGGTTAGGTTAGGGCTTGGAGCCGATACGAGTGGAGACTTCTGTAATGGAAAGATGGATTTTGTCAATTGAGAAGTGGCTGCGGCGAACAGTGACAATTTGCGATGGTGGATTAATAAATGAAGTGTACAGGCAAGGGCTGAACAACACAAAGCCAAGACCGATTAATTGCTCGTTAAGGCACACGATCTAAAGTAAGCTGAACTTCGGCACTTAGTGGATTATTTTTAAGTGAATTAGCTTTGTTCTATAAGCAGTACTCCTCTACATAGTGGAAACCCTGCGGTGTTTTTGAAAGAGCTCCACACAAACTGTCTTT